AATAGATAAATATTCATAAATAACCGTGAATAGATAAATATTCATAAATAACTGTGAATAGATAAATATTCATAAATAACTGTAAATAGATGAATATTCATAAATAACTGTGAATAGATAAATATTCATAAATTACCGTGAATAGATAAATATTCATAAATAACTGTGAATTGATAAATATTCATAAATTACCGTGAATAGATAAATATTCATATATTACTATAAAAAGGAAATTTAAACAATATGATGTACACAGTTCAGTGTATACAAGGGTGAAATAACAACAAAAATAATACAGTTTAATTCCCAGAACTTCGGAGAATCGAAAGAAATTATAGAATGTCGTCCTTACAAGTTTTAATGGTTTTTATACTATTATATCTAAATCTCAGTAGTGGAAAAATAAATAAACAGCTAGAAAATGTACAGGAACAGTTTTAAAGAACTTTGTATAATTATTCAATAAAACATCAACATCAACAACATAAAGCATCCCATTATCAATAGGTTAAGAAAACAACATTTTAAAAATTCTTTGAGTTTCTTCGAAAAATCAGTTTTTATTATTTTTTTAAAGCAGCCTAAATATTCCACAATAGTTTTATCGCGACTTTACAGATCCTACTCATATTCATCTTCTTTCAAAAAGTACTTAATTCATCCTCTAATTGAACTGCAAAAAGTATACGACTCTTTTTATCTTTATCATAACAAATATTAAAAAATTAAGGAAATCTTTATAGAGAGGCCTTAACCACAAAAATATTTTTAATTTCAAATAAACAAATAATACGAAAATTTTTTATTTTTATCATAAAATTTTCAAGATTAACATGAAGCTATTATATATTCAAAAACATATTTTTAGTATTTTTTTAGTATTTGATGGTGACATTGGAACAAGAATAAGGGTACACCTTTAAAATATTTGTTTTTAATGTTTTAATGTTTAAATGTTTAGGGGAAAACATTGGAAGAGATGGAAGAAACATTCTCGAAACCAATCCTGAAGCTAGGCAGACAAAAATAAAAGGTGTAGAAATATATCTGAATTTATTTAAAATGTTATCATTAATCTTCTGAAACTCCTGAAAAATCTATAAAGAAAATTGACATTTATAAATTAATTCCATACACTCTCGAAATAGTTTTAATTTTTTTTAGAAAAAAAGAAACATCATTTTTAATGGTTTATAGTACCCAGGTTTAATTAAGATAACGATGAAAATCTCGTTAAAATATTTGTTTACAATCACCTTATGCTTACTGTGAGTGCGAGCTAAGCCTTGAATTTATTACAGGGCTTAGCATTGTTTATTTCCGTCGTAAATTATTTTTTTATACTTTACCGCCTTTTCACATACATTAATTCCTCCATCAGAGGAACATTGAGTTACTTAACGTACCTAAGGATAATTAAGTAACAATACCATCCGCTCTGCAAAGTTTTCGTGAAAAAAATCGCGTATTTATCCCAAAAGCCGATAAGATTGTGTACTAACACTTTTTCGGGATTTTGACAAGAATGTTTGTTAGAATTTTTTTCTAATTTCAATTTTGATTAAACTTAAATTTATCTGTTTAAAGATTAACATTTTGGTTTATACCAACAGGTTTCAAAGATATAGGGATAAGAACCTTTTAGTTTGTGACAAAGACTCAATTACACTCTTTGTTTTCTTTTTATGCTTCGATAAAAAAATAAATTCCGACAAAACCCTAATTTCCCTGAGTTGAGAGGATCTGTCAACTCTAAATGAAATTCTTTCAGGTTGAGCTAGAACGGATTTATTGAGCCGACAAATTGAATTTTTATTAAAGTTTCTTAGATTTTAAAAGGTTTTATGGGTTTCTTTATAAATTGATACTAATAGGGTTCTATAATTTAAAGGGGTCTTGGTATGTTTTAATATGTTTAAATCGTTTAATAGAGTTAGATAGGATTTTTACGCTTTAAAAAAATTTCATAGGTGTGGTTTTGAAGGTTTTTTTATGAATCATTAGATTTTCAATTCGCTTTAATAGGTTTGCCAATATTTTTGTTGAGTTTACTAGGTTTCGCTAGATTTCATTTCATTATTTTTTATTTATTAGGATTTATCAGGGTTCCTTTTCTTAAGTTTCTTTCTCTGTTTTAATACAATTTATAAATTTTGACATTCTTTAGGTTTGTTATTTCTTGTACTAAATATTTTATCTTATTTCTAAGTGTTATGTTTTATTTCTAGTAATTTCAAATTTTCTTCACAGACCTAAAAGAGTTGGGTTGAAGACAGAAACATAGAATATATATATTATCCGAAGTCAACACTTTTGTGTGAACTAGCGGTAATTATTTCGATGCTTTATCTCGATATCCACTGAGACATCTTCATTATTCCCCTGCAAGGTACGAGGATAACCACAGGATACCCAAGAGCAAGGTTGTATAAAAAGGTTGATTACTCTCGATGCCCTCCAATATACGGAAAATGTTGTCTCCTTAGCATAGATAGATAGAATTCGCAAATGACGTCACTCTCGCCTCTATAATCAGTGACGTTATATGCACATTTTATCTATCTATGATAAGGAGTCGACATTTTTGTACATTGGAACGCAATTGAGAGTGAGCAACCTTTTTATACAACCTTGCTCTTGGGTATCCTGTGGAGATTAATACTTAATCCCGAGATTCACAACACAATAGTTCTGACCTCAGGCAATTTTTTAATCCTGGTTTATTTCAGGTTTAACGTGTAGTAAGATGCAGCCGAGCAGAGCAAGACTATATTCTGTTATTAATATTTCTTTAAATATTAAATAATTATTGAATATTTTATACAAAATTTGGGTTATAAATAAAGTTTTTAATTTTAACGAGAGGCAAAAAAGAAAATTTAAAATCTTTTTAGCTTAATTAACCTCTAATATTTGTAAAAAGAAAGAAAGTGTTCACTAAAAATCGAAGCTGTCACATTATTTTTAAATCTTTTCATCTTATAGATAAATAAAATTTGAAAAATGTATTGGTTATCTAATAATAGAGATACGTAATTATGTTTGATATTTACATAACGATATCTGATAAAATGGGCCTTTAATAATTCTCTTAGAAAATGTTTTTAATTGCATTGCATAAACACTGGATAGAAATAGATGATTGTTGTTTTGCTAGCTCTCTCTTTATGAACCTCATTTATATTAATATTTTGGGAAGATAAAGGCCGAGGGAGTAGATAAAGGTTATCTAGAACGTAATAAAAGTTACAAATATGTTTTATATAATTACCGAGATTATATGATCTAAACATTTTTTTATTAAAACTTTGTGAGAGAATGACAAGATCAAACAATTCATACCATTTATTTTTTACCACCTTTTGACCAACATTATCGATCCATGATTCCCCCCAACAGAGGGACTTTAAGTTATTTTACGTCCCTTAGGACAATTAAAGAAAATAACAACCCACTCGGTGAAGTTTGAAAAAATATTTGCGTACAAAATTGTGTAATCCTTATTTTTCTTGAATTTAAAATTTCTACTACAACACAGTTTCCCTTGACCAATTTTGCCAACAAAACATCCCTCGCTCTAAATGATTTGTATTTGGTCTTGGGAACCCTTGGTAAAGTAAGTTTTCCTCAAGGATTTAATGCAAGGAAAGTTATTTCAGAAGTGTACACATCTTTTGTACTGCAGTGTACTGTCTCTGGGCGGTAATGTAAACACAAGACGGATGTCAAAGCCTGACATGGGATCCATCTTTCACATAAATAATCAATGAAATATTCTGATCATAGGATACTATTATGTAAATTATCAAAATTATCAAAATTAAATGCTTTTAACCTCCACGAATACTAAACAAACACTGATGCATCTATTGTTTACAAATTCCGCCCAGAGAGAACTGGTTTCATTATGTACGCAGAGTGTACACAACCGCAATAAACTTTCCTTGCATTACATTCTTGGTTTCCCTTCACTTCCCTGAAGAAATATATTCGTGATTAATTATTTTGTGTCTTTAAAAAATTAAGCTAGCTCCCTCACAAAGATCCTGAAAAAAGTATTCTAAAAAAACTTCTATTGTGTTTATTTTCATTTGTTTTTTTTATCGAGATAATACCAATGTGTTGCCAGCAATTAGTGTTAATGTTCAAAAGAATTAATGATCTTCTTTAATCTGTTTGTGTATTCCTTCTGTAAAGAATATCAACAACTTTAATCTAAAACCATTTCTTTCCAAAGTGTGGCCCATTTAATACATAACTCACATAGACTGCTTTGAGCAATTGCATTCATTTTGAAGAATGGGTCCGGTTTGAAGTGTCGCAACGCCGTTGCCTTTGGTAATATCAGACTGACTCACTTATATTATTTTGCTGACCTATACACATTCTAGAATTATAAAGCACTTATATACAAGTAATTGGCAAAATTTTCATCGGATTTTGCATGAGAAGTTTTTTTGAGTTTTTTAAACATTAAAGGTTAACCTGCAGCTAAAAATATATCAAAAATCTAGGAAAAAAACCTAACATACAAATGTATTTAGTTGAAAAATTATTAAAAGCATCACATTCAAAACCAGACAAAAATAAAAAAGATAAACCAAAAATGTTACCATTCAAAAATTGAACCAAAGAGTGTAAAAATAAGCATTTTTCTCTGCAGGTGTAAACGTTTATTTTTCAAAAATATAACCGTTAAGTTAGTTGTTACCGAAATTGATGATAATAAAATCTGAAAGTCAGGTCAACTATTACTATAAAAATATTTCAGGAAAGTTTTAAGATTTAAAATATATAAACTTAAATCTTTTATTATATCTGTTCATGACAAAACTTAGACATTTTTTTATTTCCAAGTATCATTTATACTATAAGCATGCCTATATTTAAGGTTGATCATATTTTTAAATTTTATGTATTTCAGTCATTATATTTTCGGTGTTAGGTATTTTCACCAAGGTTCCCAAGCGGATAGGATCGGAAAGGATGGGCTAGGTTTGGACAGACTAGGGAATCTGCCACTTAGGGCGCTTGGGAAAATGCCTTCAGGAAAGTACCTAACATGATAATAATGTCCACATATTAATTACGCTAAAGAGATGAATTATAATTATAAAGGTTCTCCAATATGATGAATTCTTGGATCCGGATTTCCATAGAGGGGAGGGGGGAGGGGGTAGGAAGGTAGAGGGTGGTAGGAGGTATGGTCTTTATGAACATGTTCATGATGTGCTAGAGGTTCATGATGTACTAGAGTTTCATATGAAGCAGCCGCTACTGGTTCCTGGGGATCATGATGAAAATCCGAGATACATCCATCAATATGCTGAGGATCAAAATGATGATGATCTGGACAGGACAGGAGACGAGGATACATCTTACCATACAAGGTTGGAACACAAACAATAAAGTAGGTTCTAGCTTCAACAGCATCAAAGTTATGCACTGTCACAACATCAAGATTTACTGGAAACCTGAAATTTATAAAAAATTTATGAAAAAATTACGTAAAACTATTTAATATTTACAAATTCAGATGATTAATTTCAGAAGTCCAGTTCAGATTCACAACAGTGCCCATTTAAACCTTGAACAGATTAAGGATGAGGGAGAATGAAGTATTATTTAGAAAACTAATTGAAATAGTTGTTTTAATTAAGTTAAATACAAAGATAATTTTTTTGTTCGGAAGGTAACTTGAAATTACGCTTACAGTACAGTACCTTGTTCAGGCTTTTATTTATTTTCTGTCAGACATGATAAACTCTTACATTTTTTAGAGTCTTCGGAAAGCCTAAAAATGCTTATTGTTTAAAGGGAGAGACCGGCTGGACATGGTTGTTGAGCTGAAAGTGCAGTATTGTAAAGAACAACTTTGGTATTCATTTGTATACCAATGAGTCATTTTTCTGGTGTAAAATTTTTAAATAAGAGCGTAATGTCGTTTGTAATAGTTCACCAATTGTTTCACCAGGAGAAGAAACTATCATGCATTGCCGGTCACACTCAACTAAGCCAGTGGAATAGGTAAAATAGTCCAATGATAGCCTGATAGGCCAGGTACTTTAAAAAGTCTGACTGGGCATTCATATTTGAAGCTGAGCCGGTACAGTATAGGGTCGGGCCGGTTCAAGGGGTCGGTTCGGTTAGAATTCAGATTGCCTTTAGTCCACTGTGCGGTCTCTCACCTGAAAGCCAAGGAGTATGGAATAGAAGGGAGATACAACTGACGCAGCCCGCCCTACCATATGATTATACATGCTTTGCAGATGGTACTTCATTTGAATAAGAAATATGTGCCTGATGTACAATTACCGCGTATACAATAACCTATTCTTAATATTTCTTATATAAATGTAGTACTGTCTGTAAAGCATGCATGATTTAAACGATGTTGAACTTAAAAAATACTTTACTTTGGTTGGGGCCAGGATAGAAATTGTTCTATTGATAATGTTGGATCAATACGGTCCTGAGGGCACGGACCAAAACCTTAAAAAAAGTTTATTTTAATTAAAGCTAGAGACTGCAAGCACGTTCAAGCTAGATATGGGCACGTTTGCGCTAGATATGGACAAGTTCAAGCTAAATATGGGCACATTCAAGCTAGATATGGGCACGTTCAAGCTAAAGATGGGCACGTTCAAGCTGGAGATGGGCACGTTCAAGCTAGATATGGGCTTGTTCAAGCTCGAGATGGGAACATTTAAGATAGTTATGGGCAGGATCAACTTTTTCTCATTTCGTTTGTTCATTGTATGTGAACGTGTAGTAAGAAACCCGACCGTTTTTTCAAAAATTTTTTTTTAAAATATTGTTCCAAAAACCGTTTGTTCAGTAAAACAAACAATAGCTTTTAAAAACCATTTGAAAAATTCGTACGTTTTAGTAAGAAAACAATACTTATTTCAAGTTTGTTCCAACGATTTTAAATCTTTTCGTTCGTTTTGGAACGATTCCTTTTTTTCGTCCATCATTCGTTTTTTTTCTGAATGACACCTTTTTTTACGAAAAATATCGTTCTTTAAAAAAAACTATTCCCATGTCTAATCAAAATCTGCACTGTATCAAAATATGCTTTTAAGTGCAAGGACCAAGAGTCTAATTTTTCACACTTAACCGTTTGAGCTTAGGATGTCTGTTGCATATTATATACAGCTAAAACAAAACGATGAACTTTGATCTAATAACAAAAAATCAAAAGTTTGAATTCAAAAATGTTCAATTCTCAATTTGTTGTTTTCAATTGATGTTTCTCTATTAATTGACTTGCGCATTTCTGCTTCATGAACAATGATTGACATTGTCATAAGCAAACGCTTATTGCAGTGGCAGTCGTAGTACATTTGAATTTCCGAGCCTGGTCAACATTTCCGGTCCCAGTTTGTACTGTGTCGCCCAGACATTGGGTAAATAAAGCAGACACTCCATAAGACTAGCCTGTGCAACTTGGTTGACGCGGTCCGACTTTAGGTTGAATTTACTTTTACTAAAGGGTCAGAGGTGCGTGATTGATCAGATAAAGGTTATAATGCTGACCGTGCTTTATGAATTCGGGCTCGTCCCCATTTAGTGAAATGTCACTTGAAATCACAATTACAAACACTTTAAATAAAAAAATTGACCCTTTTTTTCAGTCTTTTTTGCAAAGCTTTACAAAAATGTTGGAACCCAAGAATTCATAATCTAGCTTGGATAAATGTCTGCCAACTTCACCTGTCACTAACTCGGGATTGCATCCGGTTTCTACAAGTGTATCCGGCCATTCACAGCTTCCGGTCAAAGGACTGAAGGCTAGTCCCGGGTCACATGGCAATCCTATAAAGATGTAGGTTAATATAAATAAAGATAGATTACTAGATGTTTTTTTAAAAAAGATCTAGGAGTTTTTTGTTCTTAATAATCCTGGGGTAGAACCGTAGAAGCCCAATGGAGTTACGCACATACACGCAGCGTTTAATTAAAAGACAGAGTGAGAGAATGCGCTTAACTCCTTTGGGCTTCTTGCCTCAGGGTTATTGTGAACAAAACCCGTAAATCTTGAAAAGACGACATCTAGTGTTCTATATCAGTAGTGTTATTTAATCTTTGTAAAAACTATTCTGTTTCCTGTTAGTTCTTTCATATAAATCCGCGGAATGCTAATCAGTAATAACAATAGTAGACTTTTCATTTGATTTGTAAACAGACACTATTTCTAATTATGGAGGAGAGACAGTTAAATAAAAGTGAGAGATTTTTCACACAAAATTCATGGTTGTCAACATTGGCTCACTGTTTGATAAAAATCCTTAACTAATTGTTACTAATAATGAATTTTTACTTTTTATATGACTAAACTTTCCAAGGAACTGAACAGTGAACACCAGCCTCAATCTCTAATTTTTGGCTCCTTATCATACAGGAGTGCTGTAGTAACCTTATATCTATGTCCTAAATACACGTAGTACATGTAGTCGTCTCTGAAGTCTCATCCTTTGTGGATGACTCTGTGTATAGAAGTAAACTATGATTCTGTTAAAGATCTAGACAAAATCGGAGATATCAAAGCTTTACACCATCAGGATATCAAGTTGTAAAGATTTAGTCGAATAGCTTAACTAATAAGTTATTAAAACACTTATTAGCTGAAATGAGTCTATTTGTGTAACTCATTTTCATTGGCATATTTAGAGTCATAACTTAAGTCTAAAAGTCAACTTCCTATTCTATAGTTTTCTGGTTATCACTGTAAGTAATCAGTCTGTTTACCTGTTCTTGTAACTAAAGAACATGAAGAGCTGAGTGGGAGAGGAAGACCAGGAATACCAACATCCAAAAACTTCATATTTTTTACAGTTAGACTCAAAAAGCTGTGGAATGTGAAGACGATACTTTTGCAATCATATGTTTATCATTTGATGCAAATAATTTTACCACAAGTTTAAAAACAAACTTATAAAATGAAATGGAGTACAATTGTACAATCGTATATAAATGAGTACAATTGTGTTGTGTTTCATGACTATCATGCACTTTATTCAAAATCATAACTTAAGTCTAAAAGTCGTCTTCTTATTCCTTAATTTTTCGGGTCTCACTGTAGTTTAATCAAAGGGTAATCTCTTATTTTGATTATTTCACCCAGTATGAAAGTAAATCTTCTGGTATTTATATTGAAAATGGTACAATAAATGTAGTAACAGAGATGCCAACTCTATTGAGGAGTATCGTTCATCTTGAACCCTTGATCTCGATATCAGGCTTAAGGTACTTTATATTAAAGGATTAATGCTTGAGGATTATTGCTTAATTCATCAAAGAAAGTCAACCCTGCAGGGATTAAACACAATGGGATATCTAAGGGGAATTGAACCCTGCAGGGATTAAACACAATGGGATATCTAAGGGGAATTGAACCCTGCAGGGAATAAACACAATGGGATATCTAAGGGGAATTGAAACCTGCAGGGAATAAATGCAATGGGATATCTAAGGGGAATTGCACCCTGCAGGGAATAAATGCAATGGGATATCTAAGGGGAATTGAACCCTGCAGGGAATAAACACAAGGGGATATCTAAGGGGAATTGAATTTATCTGTCAGTCTCAAAAAATATGACTTTAGAGATATAAATCCTGAACGTTTGATCTCGATTTCAAATGTGGGTCCTTTTAAATTTGAGGAGTAATGCTTTATTCCTCAATTAAAGTTACCCGACCTTGCAGGGTACGACCATCACGGGATATCAAAGAGGAATTAATTTAATCTTTAGAACTCAATAAATAATGGAGACCAATTAAATCTTAATCCCGAAAGATAACAATAAAAATTTAATTTTTTGATAATTTCTGAGTGCTTTTTTGAAATATAAACATTACCTCAGGGTTCAACAGCTTTCTATTCTCAATGAGCTGGTTTAGACTAGGACTTAACAGATGGGGTTGAAGTAAAGATGAGGGGTCTGTGGGGAACACCAAATTGGCTGCTTTTTGCTGTTGTTGTTTTATGTTTCTAGGATTAGATGCTATTGGTCCCTCTGGACGCCTTGTTGTGAACAATGCAACGTCAGCTGCAGTAAATCGTTGAATCTAAAAAAAAAATATTTCAACTTTTAATTGTTCCTGAAGGTTTAACTTTTCTTCTGAAACCTGTGGCTGTAAAAAGTCTTCCGTGATGAATTTTGGTTGGCGTTGTTGACTGGCTGAGGGTACAGGTTGGGCCCTGGCGAAAACCTCGTCAAAATCTTCTTGATTTAATTCCTAACAAAGTTTTACTTTAAAAAATACAAAAACACTTGATATTTCAAAGAGAGCCTGCTGTTTAGTACGAATACCTCATCTTGTTGTTTAATGCTTAGATCTGGGAAAACAGGGAGATGTGGGACAGCTGGAATAGGTCGGAGAGTTGTTGGTGCGAATGTTGGACTGGTCGGGGCGAATGATGGACCGGTAGTGGCGAATGTTGGACCAGTAGGGGCGGATGTTGGACCAGTAGTGGCGAATATTGAGTTTGTCGGGGCGGGGAAAGTTGGTAGATTTGCAGGTTTTGGAAAGGATGGTGGTTCTCTAAAGTGCTAAAAACATGAAGTTAATATTTTTCAAAATTAAAAACAAATTTATTTTTACCCCTTGATTTTTTTCAAGTTGAAGGTTCGCCTGGGCAGCGCTCACAAGAACAGCTTGTAACACTCTGGGATCCACAGCCTTGGAATATAATACAATGTACATGATCAAGTTTTTGTAAACAATTAGGAATCGAGTTTTTGCCACAAACTCTGGTTTTTTAATCCCTTTATCTTTGCAATCAAACGTTGTATTCCTTTTATACTTCAAACTAGGAATTCTGTCATGGGTCAAAAAAACAACTCAGTTCCTTTTAGGAAATAAATCAAAACTCCTTTCAGGAAATGAATTTTTATTTTTGTAATTTTTTAGCTTAAGAACGTTTTTATGGAGACATCGGTTTTGATGATAATTAAAATTTTTACAAAACAAATATTTATTCTCACAAAAAATATAATAATTATATCCCAAATAATGTCCTTTACATTCAAATTTTAAAGTGATTTGTGCACCTTTTAATTAAAATAAATGTGTTTTTATCTAAAGTTTTTTGTATCTTAAGAATTGACCGAGATATTGAGAAATTTGTCTAAAATTTAAAGTATTAAAAAAAGCAAGGTTGTTTATGTTCTTAGTATCTCAGACAATCTTTATGATACCAAGTGCAAGTTCAAGGTCCAATGTCTAACGTACTGCATGACACTACACCCAGAAAATTAAATCAAACCTCGACTATGATATATATCCATTTAAAAAGTTACTGATAAAATGCACAACCTTTATCTTTATAAGGGATTTTTTAACCTAGACTGTACTGTATACATACTGTGGAAATTTAAAATTAAATATTTTGATATTTTTTGCTGTCTAATGTTAACACAGTGGTACGTGAGAGTAAATATTGGGTCGACCCAAGGTTATAATGCAAGGAAAGTTATTACAGAGACGGATGTCGAAGCCTGACATGGGATCCATCTTTCACATAAAAAATCAATGAAATATTCTGGGCATAGCCTCATAGAAATGTTTTACGTGAATTATCAAAATTTTCAAAATTCAATGCTTTTATCCTCCTCGGATACTAAACGAACACTGATGCATCTATTCTTGTTTACGAATTCCGCCAAGAGAGAACTGGTTTCATAATGTACGCAGAGTATACGCTACTGCAATTAACTTTCCTTGCAATATAGACTTGGTACAGACCTTTTCATGACTCATTAGGACTTGCCGGTGCAACAAGGTTGACGTGGTCAGACTTTAGGCCTAGTTTACTTTAACTAAAGGGTCAGAGGTGCGTGCGATAAAGACAATTCAGGTGCACACAATGTTACGTGTTTCTAATTGCTTCTCCTTTCGCAATTATAGCACAATTCTGCATAAGTGAAAGCAATCGTACCATGCGAATTCTTGCAATTGCTCGCAATGGAATTTCGATTGCAAGGCAAGCCTGCAGTAAAACCACATAATTAGATTTTATTTTTACTATGTTTACTTTGTTTTATTTTGTTCTGTTTATTTTTTTTTGTGTTTTGTTGACATATTTACGATATTTTAATATTCGAAGCATGCATATTGTATATTCTCAAAATGAATATATGAATGCAAAAATTGAAATGAACGGGAAGCAAGGTGTTTTAAAACTGGAAAAATGAAATATAGAAATTTTTATAGAAAATCTAATTTTCTACTCCTTTATCTATGCAACCTGATGGTGTTCTTCGTTGATACTTATTAAAAATGAAATGATAGATATGATAAATTAAAGGATAGAAATGAAAAATGGAATGATAGATATGATAAGTGAAATGATAGATATGATAAATGAAATGATGGATATGAAAAATGAAATGATGATTAAAAACGAAATGATAGATAGTGAATTGTAAGGTATTTTGGTTTCAAAAGAATGTCAAAACGACTATATTTTCTTAGATTTTGAATTTTTGGAAATCTACTAGTTGAATACAGAAAAAACCCCGAGATCTTATTTTCTTTAATGCAATCAAGAAATTTTCAAAGGCAAAAATGTTTTCCAAAAAGGCTGCAAGGTGTAATGAAAGAGTAGTTTTGATATAATTTGCAATGAAAGTTTTCATGGATAAAGTAATACCTGAAGCAAAACTGGATCAGCCAACACTGCCTGAATATGAAATTCAATTTAAAAACTTTTTAAAATTTTTTTTCAGAACCATAAAGTACGACAATCATTTGATTTTTCTTTTGAATGAATTGAATTTAAATATTCCTGAAGCAAGGCTGGATCAATTCCTCTTTGAATATCCATTCTGTCCTCTGCTACATCACTTGCAGACACATCCATATCAGTAGCATCATTCTCAGCATCATTCTCAGTATCTTCAGTCATAACCTCTCCACGCCTTTTGTCTATTGCCTTTTGCATTACATCATCAAACTCAGCATAGTTTTCAGAGTTTAAATGCTCTACCATCTTCTCAATGACATCTGTATCAAGCTCAGTGAGTAAACTGTCAATAGTTTGAAACCTAGGATCCTCGATATCAGTTTCTTCAGTCTCAGATTCAATATTTCTTTTAAAAATACTCTTGATCAAAGTTTGTTGGTTTGGCTGGTATATCTGCTGGCGATATTGGCCAGGATGGTTTTTGCTTACAAACTGTTGATCATCACCTGGCGCGGGTAAACGGTCATAAACTTCTTCTTCGTTATTTTGTTCCCCTGGTAGTGTAGAAAATTGAACGATATCCATTATAGAATCCATTCTTTCATCTGCATCGGGAAATTTAACATTTTCATCATCAATATTCTCCTGAACCATAATATTGGATGGTTTATAAATAAAGGTTTGTAACTGTGGTGGACCATATTCAATATTTTCAACAGGTTTCTTAAAAGGACTGGTGTTTGGATGATATGAAGAAGGTTTAGGCTCTAGTTCTATTTTCATGACAGCCATGTTATCAAGGTTATCCAGAGGAAGAGTTTCAGAAGACGAATCTACAAATGTTATTGCAGGTCTTTTATAGATGTTTAGAAATAGATTATCATATGGTTGGGCCGACAAAGGAGATCTTTTATTGATCACAACTTCATCAGGTGTATCATGAAATATTGGAGCTGCAAGATCCATCCTATTTTCAAAAGTTATTACTCCAGATTTATCGTAAAAAACAGGTGCAATATGATCATTCCTATTTTCAATATTAACATTATGAACAATTTCCTCTCTGTTAAGAGGTCCAATAATAATGCTTGGTCTATAATCGTTTTGTAAATCTGTGCGTGGGGTTGATGTTACAGGCTCCTCATTCAACTGGGCTAGCCCCAAAGCACTCAAAACTAAAATAAGTTATCATTAATCAGCGTCATAAACTAATTACAAAAATCCAATTCTACCAAAGTTAATGTAAGAGAAGATTTGTTCTTTTTAAGATTATACTCTCATAGCTGTACAGTACATAGATTTGACGCAGCAGATTTAAAGGTTTTTGGTGTAATTTAATTGGCCCGGATGAAACTCCCCTTTTATAGAGAGTGTCTACGCAATTTCAAGTACTCCCCCCCCCCCTTTAAAAGAGACTGTCTACGCAATTTCAAGTACCCCCCCTTTAAAAGAGACTGTCTACGCAATGTCAAGTACCCCCTCTTTAAAAGAGACAGTCTACGCAATGTCAAGTACCCCCTCTTTAAAAGAGACAGTCTACGCAATTAATATATATATATATATATATATATGTATACGAATGTCTTGTTTTATTATCTAGATTATAATTAATATAAGTTAATTAGTCGATATTTAGACCATTCTTTATCCTTTCTGATTATGTTCTTCTCTTCTGCTCCCATCATTATTCTAACGTTTATTTTTGTTGCAAAGGAATTGAGTCTTTAATACAAACTCTGATTTTCTAATCTCTATGCCTTTGCAACCCAATATCGTAGACCTTAGATATTTCAAACTATGAATTCTGCTAGACCAAATAAGCTTAGTTTGAAATATCAAAGCTTTTCGCCATCAGGTTAAAAAGATATTGGGATAGGAAAATCAGTGTTTGTGGCAAAGAATCAATTCCTTTTTTTGAAACAACTAATTAGTTCATTGTAGATTTTTTATTACATTTTTAGTCGTCGTTATTTAATAATTTAAAAAAATTGATGCTCAAAACGTAACTACAAAAATGGATGATTGTTAACGTCAACTTTGCGCTCAAACTCAATAATTATACATTATTAAAACGTTTCATAAATCTCAAATGAAGCCTAAAGAATTCCTCCCTAATACTACATTCTCAGTTAAGCTACAATACATTGCCGGTCGCTCCCTTTAAGTTTTCTGATATTTATATATAAATTACCTAATACAAACACTGAAATGATATATCCATAGTAAACCATGGCTGTGTCAGTTCATTTCCTGTTTCTCATTCACAAAACAAAACATGACTGACGCATTGTGTAAAAATATGGTTAACGCGCAAGTTAACGCACTTATCTACTTAAAATATTTTTATGGTGAGAATAATCGTAAAAGGGGGGAGGGGGTTGCCATATTCATAATTATTGGTAAATATATTCATATATTTTGTTTTTCTAGTTAATTAAATATCTGTCAGTCTCACTGGAACTGTAATAATTAGAAGGGGAGTATTCTTTAATCCTTTTTCTTGTCAATATGACTATCTGTCTATCTGTCTAGCAGACTATCTGTTTATCCATCTTTTTGTCCCGTCGTCCTGTCTTTCTGGTCTTTTTTGTATATCTGTCTATCTGTCTATCTGTACACCTGTACATCTGTCTAGATCTGTAGATCTGTCTAGATCTGTAGATCTGTAGATCTGTAGATCTGTAGATCTGTAGATCCATAGATCTGTCTAGATCTGTAGATCAGTACATCTGTAAATATGTAGATCTGTAGATATGTAGATCTGTCTAGATCTGTAGATCTGTAGATCTATAGATCTTAGTATCTGTCTAGATCTGAAGATCTGTCTAGATCTGAAGATCTGTCTAGATCTGTAGATCTGTAGATCTGTGGATCTGTAGATCTGTGGATCAGTATATCTATGGATCTGTAGATCTGTAGATCTGTAGATTTGTTAATCTGTCTAGTTCTGTTAATCTGTGTAGTTCTATCTGTCTATATATAAAACTTTGCTAATTATAATTATATTAATTAATTATAATTATTATAATTAGCAAAATCTTTGATAAAACTGGTTATGTAGCTTCCTACGTACATAATTGTTATATGTAAGTCTTCCTACATAAGAAGGAATGTAAAAAATGTTTTAAAATAAATTAGATTTGTTAAATATGTTTTCTTTCAGGCGCGCAACTAGGGGGGGCCAGGAAGGGGGGGCATGCCCCTCCCTTAAGAAGTCTTGCCCCCCCTGTAAAGGGGGGGGGCAAGAAGTGACGAAGTCCACCCTGTTTTGCAATTTAGCGATTCATGAATCCTGACCCTGAGCAAATTTATGAGCTCTTATCGTAAAATAAAAAAAATATAATTGAACGTTAGTTTATTGAGCTTAGTTGCAATCGATATAGCACTTAATACACCATATACACACACACAGACCCCCTTCGTCTCCGAGCCTAACTACTGCCGTAGATCAGAACATGTTGACAAGGTTCCAAGGTGCCTTAATCTTTGTTTTTTTCATTATGCTGTTTTTTCCTGGGAAAGGGAAAGGGGGTTTATTAAGTATTTTTTAGATATTTTCACTATCAGTTCTGCCACTTATTATGATATTGCTTTAATACTGTAGTACAACTATTAAATTAATCCTACATGTTTACCGCAAATATTGTGTGATGTGTCATATTAAAAAAAATATTTTTCATTTAAAATCATGAATTTTTAATGAAAGGCATTTCTTGTCAGTTTCTGAGTACAATGTACATATTTGATTTATGGATAACTAATGAAAATTTATATATATATATATTTAATTTGTAAATTAATTATTTTTGTGATTTATACCAGAATAGATTTCTTTTTTTATTTCATATCAGATGTGTTGACTTACTGTTTTTTATTGTTTTAGTATAACACACATTTTTCTTGCCCCCCCCCCTAAAAATGTTTAGGGGGGGACCAAAAAAATATTTCCCCCTAGCCCCCCCCCCTAACGAAATGTCAAGTTGCGCTCCTGTATTTCTTTTATGATTGATTAGTAAGATATTTACATTTCAACTTTCAATTAGAAAATTGTTTTGTAGCGATTATTTCCCATTTAAGATACTTGACACTTCTCAGGTTATCATTAAGAAATGGTATTAAGGTTTAAAGATATAAAACTAAGCTCGGAAAAGGAAGAAGCAGATAAATTGTAAAAATTTATAATCCATGAAACCATGTGCAGTGTGTGGTATTGTATCTAGCTAGGTAATATGTATTGTATAATCTACCAATATAGATTATATATGTCACTATTTTTCGGCATTGGGACACCTAGTATAAGGCTATAGATGTTTCTTGCCCCAAAATAAAAAAAATGGGGTCATCGAGTTGAGGTGTGTACGTTGCTACTAAGTAAATGTCAAATATTTTAAGATTGTATCATACATAAGTAACAAAGTTGGCTACTAAGTAGATGTGAAATATTTTAAGAAAAAAAAATCAGGACATCATTCTTTGAACAAAGAATCTGCGCGTAGAAAGAAATATAGAGTTTATAATATAAAAACTTACACTCTAATTTTCTTCTCGTAGCTGAAATCTGTATGAATTTGTGCATGCGCAGACGCGCAGTGTTTTCAAGCTTTGAAAAATATTCTGGACACCGTGTTTGAAGGCCCAAACTTACACGTATTGCATCTACTTTTAATCTACACTCAAATTTTCTTCTCATAACTGAAAACTGTGTGAATTTGTGCATGCGCAGACGCACAGTGTTTTCAAGCTTTGAAAAATATTCTGGACACCGTTTTTGAAGGCTCGAACTTGCGCGTATTGCATCTACTTTTAATCTTGCACTCAAATTTTCTTCTCATAACTGAAAACTGTGCGCGTTTGTGCGTGCGCAAAAACACACAATTTTAGTTCAATAGAGAAAATTGGAGTTTTAAAATGAAATATATTTATATAAATACGTGCAAACTCACACTGTTTTTAACAAATAGAAAGAATTTTTCAATTTTATATAGCGCAGTTTCGTACATCTAAAGATAATCGGCCAACTTATTTTTACAAGGCTAAAACTGTGTGCGTTTGTGCGTGCGCAAAAACACACAATTTTAGTTCAATAGAGAAAATTGGAGTTTTAAAATGAAATATATTTTTTTATTAATACGTGCAATCTCACACTGTTTTTGAATAATAGAAAGAATTTTTCAATTTTATATAGCGCAGTTTTGTACATCTAAAGATGGTCGGCCAATTTATTTTTATAAGGCTAAAACTGTGCGCATTTGTGCATGCGCAAATACACACAATTTCAGTTCAATAGAGAAAATCGAAAGTTAAAATTGAAATATATTTATATATTTCATTTTTTAAAAAATTTTTATATATATATATGGAATATCTTATATAGCACAGTTCATGCAAATAAAGAAAATATGCAGCATGTTCACGAAAATAGATGACATGTTTTAGTTCTTATAAAAGGAATATAAAAGGAAATTTTATACCTATGTACTGACACACTTGCGATTGCGAAGTAAAGATATATAAAATCAGTATTCAAACATTAACAGATGTTTAGTCTTGTAAAGAGAAGTAAGACAGTTAACCTAGCTATGGAAGCTATGTTAGTATACTTATATAACTAACTAAAGATAGATCTCCGCGCACACCACAACTTGATGACCCCAATTTTTTTTTTTTGAGGCAAGAAACACCAATACTGTATAAGGTGATGAACAGAAGAAAAAAATGTTTATTTTACAATAAGGAAGAAAAGATAATATTACATATTTATCAAATTAAATGGTCTTTGTATTGTAAATATGGCTTCTATGCTTGTGTATTGAATACCCTACTCCATAATGGTTTCTAGAACCCGTATCTATCCAAGTACAATTCAGTTTTCACTCTCCGAAGTCATTCATTTAGTGAGTATAGTCTGTATTACGTCACAAGAATTTCAGCCAATGGTAGTGTAGTATACTGGTCATCTGATACAAACGGAAATCACATGACCAGTATACTATACAGACTGTATGTAATAATATTATTAATTATATCTATTAAAAATGCAAAATAAAAATAAAAATTTATAATAGGAGCAAACCTGATATTCTCAGGCTTCTGTGGGATATAATCGATTTCAGATTGGTTGCTTATTTGCTGAATATGATCTGTTTAAACCTACTACTTTTAATATATGAATTTTTGTATAATTTTGACACAGTTTAATATCAATTTCTCGTGACAGGAACATCTTATAGGTATTGTTCAACGCCTGAGATTCTCAGGTTTCATCCTATACCTCCTTTTTAATTTTTCCTTTACAGTCCCTTTAAATAATGTAGAAGTGTAAAGATAATTGTATATTAACTCAAATCACTTATTATTTTTTCCAAATATAACCCTTGTTAAACTCAATTTCTATGTACTGCTCAAATTTTAATTTTTGCCGATCTAGCCAAATATGGGCTACTTTTCCCATGTAATGCTCATATTTTAATTTTTGCCGATTTAGCCAAATATGGGCTACTTTTTCTGATGTAATGCTCATATTTTAATTTTTGCCGATTTAGCCAAATATGGGCTACTTTTTCTGATGTAATGCTCATATTTTAATTTTTGCCAATTTAGCCAAATATGGGCTACTTTTCCGATGTAATGCTCATATTTTAATTTTTGCCGATCTAGCTAAATATTGTGTACCTCAATGGCATAGCTGTTCATTCTCCCTTTTCAATTTACTTTTAACTTATCAAAAAAAAAAATATTAAAAAATGCATAAAAACTGTAATGTTATTATGTTGTCAACTATGTAGTGTGAACATGAATATAATTTGGTACCACTGTATTAAAATTGTCTCATTACTTCAGGAAATAAATATTTAGATCTTAAAAAAATGTCTCAGCTAGGACACAATCTTGGGCTATCAATGTCTCAACTAGGACACAATCTCGTAAACTATCAATGTCTCAACTAGGACTCAATCTTGGGCTATCAATGTCTCAACAAGGACACTATCTTGGAAACTATCAATGCCTCAACTAGGACAAGATCTTGTAAACTATCAATGCCTCAACTAGGACACTATCTCGTAAACTATCAATGCCTCAACTAGGACAAAATCTTGTAAACTATCAATGCCTCAACAGGGACACAATTTCGAGATATCAATGTCTCAACTAGGACACAATTTCAAGCTATCAATGCCTCAACTAGGACACAATTTCAAGCTATCAATGCCTCAACTAGGACCCAATCTCGTAAACTATCAATGCTTTAACTAGGACACGATCTCGTAAACTATCAATGCCTCAACTAGGACACAATCTCGTAAACTATCAATGCTTTAACTAGGACACAATCTCGTAAACTATCAATGTCTCAACTAGGACACAATCCTCAACCTGTTTATCAAAACAGGGAATGATTACTCTCTTGCAGTAAACAGTAGAGTCTCTATTGCAATTAAAGTATATTTCTTTAGTATTGATTAGATTTGGGTCTTTACAGCATAATTACAAGTTATTCCCTGTTAGATATACATAGTTAAGCAATCACAATATGGGTATGATGGAGTTATATCTATCTACGTACATTGAATGGGTTAATCCCAATACATGATTTACATATTTACTAATGGGTACATTTAGCTATATGGACAATGTACAATGTAATTTACTATGGGCCTCTATAGTTTCTGCAGGGCTATCTATCAGGACAAACATATTAATTGTTATTAAGCACCCAATGGGGTGATGAACACAAATAATATAAATCCCTCACTTAACGACGGTTGACAGTCGTAAAGCAAGATTAAAACTTTTGTTTCTTTCTTTCGCTATGCAATCCTGTAGATGAAAATTGATCCAAATTGAAGGAAAAAATATCCTCAATTACCTAAAAAAAAAATTCAATTGACAGTACTCAACCTATATGAAGACAAGAGAACTCATGCGAAAAAAAACCATTCCTCTACAACTATGTAGATGAAAACAAATCTCAAATGAGTAAAAAAATCCTCAATTATGTTAAATTGAAAATTCAATTGGCGGAACTCAACCTTTATTATGGTTGGAGTGTGGAAGACGATGCCTGGCCGCGTTAAACTAGTTCCACAAGATTCAACAGAATGAGATAGAACGGATACGGGGCATTAGTACTGATATCATCTCTACAGTCTACACGTGCGATATCGATATTGACTCTAGTTCTGAACCCTCTAGTAATAAGTTATAAGAAATATATATACTGGAAGTTATTTATGCGTTTTATTAGAGTCTGACTCACGTCCTCTATAGGAGAACCCATGAGAATAACAACCTTTCCACCATTAGAATGGGGAAACATAGTTTTAAAATGATGAAAGAGCATTGCATGCCTCATTTTTAATACTAGTTTGTAGGCTACGACATTTAATAATTTCAAGTATAAATGTCAGAACCTAAAATCAATTAATTTTTGCTTAAAAAAACAAAAATTTTAATTTCTTGATTTCTTGTTTCTCATTACTTTTCAAAATCTTATTTCAATTTATTTGCATTTTTCACTTCCCTTTAAAATATTCTCTTTTAAATTGATAAATGTGTATTATGTTTTAAACAACAAACTATTCAACTAAAACAGTACTCTGTTACACAGTCGTACTTATTAAATGAATACATGTACTTCGATCTTTATTCTAAAGTTGAAATGTTGTAATATTTAATTGTTAAAACATATCGCACTGAAATAAAATTTGAATCATAAAATTGAGTTTCTTATCAAAGACTTGTTATCAATCATTAGTCAGTTCTTCAGCTTATTTCCTCTGGGCATTATTATATTTTTAAATAATTAACATTTTTTATTTTTATTTGTGTTCTTCGTTCTTTACTTATTAATATTAGAGCTTTTATTTGCTTGTAAGAGTGCCTTAAACAATTCACAACAGTTCGTTAAAACCCAAAATTATGCCAAAGCAATATATACAAAATAGAAAATGTCTAATGAAAACATTTTTTACTTCTATATTTGTATTGTAATATGCCTATTGTAACATTTAACCACTGCAATTTTTTTCGTTTATATCTTGTGATGTTTTCTTTTGAGTAAATTCATATATCACTTGCTTTCCAAGGTGAAAGTATATGAAAAAATTATCCAGATCTTTCATCTTATACTTCTTGTTGCCTTCATCTATTATCAATGTAACATTCAATGTTTTATGTAATTTTATATATATACGTCTAAACTCATACTTAAAGCTTAATCTGAATACTATATAGCCACAATTCAAATGGTATAGCATAATTATTAGTTAATACTTAGTCTCAATTTCTGTACATTCAATGGGTTAATCGCAATTCATGATTTACGTATGATTTTATTTGGCATGTCACACAGCCAAAATTGATTAAAAAGACATTTTTATGATTTTTAAAACAGAATCTGATTGCACTAACATTAATTAGCCCATTATTTCTGATTTTGCATATTATTAAACTGAATCAAACATGATAATGTTTTTTTTGCATAATATTGAATCAAAATAGGGCGTGGAAAAGAAGCACTAGATTGATAAATGTGCTGACGAAAATCAATTTCGTGACGTCATTAAAAAAAAAGGGGCAGTGTGCCTTAACTTCCCCTTTCTGGATACAAAAAAATCACATTTCTTTTATACTAATCCTCAGTACTGTATTTGTTATTTCTTCAGGATAACCATGGATAAAGAAGAGGGGATACCTGGTAGCGGTAACCCTGAAGGAAGCAGAGATAATGGAGAGATGATTACTTCTTTTCTCCTTCTGATGTGCACTGACATATTCAGGCATATTCTTCAGGTACAGACTATTCTTACTTTAATAGACTTAAAGGATCTGTAGACGTAATTTTAAGTATCCTTCTATTTCTAAAATAGCATGTCTGATAAGCATATGGGAACCTTTTAACCTCTGTCTAATCATTGATATCAGCAATATTTAAACAGATTTGAGTAAAATTAACATAATTTTCTCTCCTTTCAACATTCTGTGATATACATTTTGCAGTTCCTGGATTACAGGAGTAAAAAGATGCTGAGGGGAGTGTCCTCTACTCTCAAGAACAGAGTTGAAGGATGTGGGGATAAACTGGTTCATTACTGGAGGTTTAATACCGAGTTTACAACAGCTCAGCTTATCAAGTTTGCTGATGAAGTTGAAAAAGTTCTAGGTTAATTAATACATAAAAATAGATATACCAATATTTTAACTATTCACAACCTGATGTTAAAAAATGAGATACCTTTTAGACTTTTAATTGATTCCCCCATTTTTGTTTTAATCTAAGTAAAATTTTTAAATTCTTAATTCAATTAGCTGTGAGTTTATGGTTGAGAGATGCGAACAATCCACAAACAATTGATTTCAAATGTAGAATGTAAACAAATGTGTGACTTTATTTATTTAGAATTGGACAACCTCTTTTATTGGATGTTTTCAAATATTTCCTCCTCAAAACACTTCATTTCTATTTTTTATTAAATTCTATAAACAAAATTCTTACTTTACTTACTATTTTACATTTCTAGGTTTAAAAGTTGAAGATGCTACAGATGATGGTGTTGAGTATCTTGTGAAGAAACATCCTGAAATTTTCATGTTTCAACTTGGAAAAGAAAATACCTGGCAAAAAAGTAAATTGACATCAGCTGGATTAAATCAAATATTCTCCCTCCCATCCTTGTCTTCCTTGATTATAGGAAGAAGAAGTTTATTTATTTCTAGAATAAATGTCAACATAGTTTCAAAACAACTCCAAACTCTACAGCTAAAATGTGATGAGTTTAGTCAAAATTATGACTGGTTTCTACAAATATTGGAACAATGTGGAAGTACGATTAAAACTCTGACCTTGACAGATGAAATATTGATTAAATACAAGGGAACCCTGCCTTGTTTAAAGAACCTGAACATGAGTTTCTGTACACAACTTACAAATAAAGGACTGCTGCAGATACTTCAGCTGTGTGGAAGTACACTTAGATCCCTGGATATATCAAGAACAAATATAACAGGAGAGAATCTGTCTGAATACAAGGGAACCCTGCCTTGTTTAGAGAACCTGAACATGAGTTTCTGTACACAACTTACAAATAAAGGACTGCTGCAGATACTACAGCTGTGTGGAAGTACACTTAGATCCCTGGATATATCAAGAACAAATATAACTGGAGAGAATCTGACTGAATACAAGGGAACCCTGCCTTGTTTAAAGAACCTGAACATGGAACTCTGTAGACAACTCACAAACAAAGGATTACTACAAATACTTCAGCTTTGTGGAAGTACACTCAGATCCCTGAATATAGGATTAACAAATATAACTGGTGAAAATCTGTCTGAATACAAGGGAACCCTGCCTTGTTTAGAGAGCCTAAACATGGGAAACTGTAAACAACTTACAAACAAAGGACTGCTGCAGATACTACAGCTTTGTGGAAGTACACTTAGATCCCTGGATATATTAAATTCAAATATAACTGGAGAAAATCTGTCTGAATACAAGGGGACCCTGCCTTGTTTAGATAACCTGGAATTAAATTACTGTGAAAAGCTTACAGATAATGGACTACGGCAGATACTACAGCTGTGTGGAAGTACACTTAGATCCCTGGATATAACAGGAACAAATGTAACAGGAGAAAATCTGACTGAATACAAGGGAACCCTGCCTTGTTTACAGAACCTGAAAATGCGAGACTGTGAACAACTCACAAACAAAGGATTACTACAAATACTTCAGCTTTGTGGAAGTACACTCAGATCCCTGAATATAGGATTAACAAATATAACTGGTGAAAATCTGTCTGAATACAAGGGAACCCTGCCTTGTTTAGAGAGCCTAAACATGGGAAACTGTAAACAACTTACAAACAAAGGACTGCTGCAGATACTACAGCTTTGTGGAAGTACACTTAGATCCATGGATATAGGATTAACAAATATAACTGGAGAGTATCTGTCTGAATACAAGGGAACCCTGCCTTGTTTAGAGAACCTGAACATGAGAAACTGTAAACAACTTACAAACAAAGGACTGCTGCAGATACTACAGCTTTGTGGAAGTACACTCAGATCCCTGGATATATTAGGAACAAATGTAACTGGAGAAAATCTGACTGAATACAAGGGAACCCTGCCTTGTTTAAAGAACCTGAACATGGGTGCGTGTAAACAACTCACAGATAAAGGACTGCTGCATATACTACAGCTTTGTGGAAGTACACTTAAATCCCTGAATATAGCGTGTACAGCTATAACTGGAGAGAATCTGTCTGCATACAAGATTACCCTGCCTTGTTTAGAGAACCTTAACATGAGAGACTGTGAACAACTCACAGATAAAGGACTGCTGCAGATACTACAGCTTTGTGGAAGTACACTTAGATCCCTGGATATATTAAATTCAAATATAACTGGAGAAAATCTGTCTGAATACAAGGGGACCCTGCCTTGTTTAGATAACCTGGAATTAAATTACTGTGAACAGCTTACAGATAATGGACTACGGCAGATACTACAACTGTGTGGAAGTACACTTAGATCCCTGGATATAACAGGAACAAATATAACTGGAGAATATCTGTCTCAGTACATTCACGTGAAAGTGACCAGGGGGTGAAGCTTATATATTGAACCAACAAATTGAAATTGTGGTATTCCTTAATTCTGGAAAACATTATTAGTTCTGGGAAACGTTCAGCTACCGAACTGAATAATATTTCATTAACGAAAAAAAAATAACCATTCATGATTAAAAGAAGATGGGATAGTTAAAAAGAACAAATTAGATTTTTACAATGACTGTAATTATTTTAGTAACGAATGCGTGAAACTTAAAAAAAAGAAAATTGATTTAATGTATTGTGATGCATTGAATTGTCCTTTTTATTTTTTTTTTTGCGATATTTTTATTTAAAATGACTAAATGTCTCCTGAAATATTTACCCTTAATGAGGTTAATATAATTCACATAGAATTAAATTATAGCTGTGTCCATCCTGTTTCACCTATATCAGGCAGAACCTTCCGAGCCCATGCATGTGTATTTAAATGTCAAACTCTTATTGGCTGGGCTTAGACTTTGGATCAACCTTTAGGGTTACCACACTTTCAACAGTTAGAAACTGACAACATAATTTGAAATTGTTTTAATATTCAATTCGGAATTTTAAGAATATCATTTCACGGACTCAATGATTTACAGAACTTTCTTGATTTAAAATTTGCACACCAATGTCAATTTTTTTTCATGAAACTAAAATGAGATTTTAAGAGTACAATAAAGTTTATACCTGACTAGTTAGGGTAGCAAGGAAAAAATATTACGATGACAAGTTTAAAGAATATAGTAAAGATTGTAAAAAAATTGGCTAACAATAAATAGTGTTTTAGGAAGGGGGCGGAAATCTTTAAATATCCCTGATACTTTTTTTAACAATGGTGTAGTTCTTTCAGGAGCAGCTGAACTATCTGAAGGTTTCAATACGTTTTTCTCCAGTATAGGTCCTCAACTAGCAAAGAATATTCCGAATACAACAAAAAAATTCTCAGATTATCTCTCAGAAAAAACTGATGCAAACTTTGTTTTTGCAAATATGACCCCTGATATCATAAATGATGCTCTTAGCAAATTAAAAAATAAAAACAGCTCTGGTCCAGCTAACATTTCTACAAACCTATTAAAGCCGATAATGCCAAGTATCATGGGTCCTATCTGCCATTTATTTAATATGTCGTTTTAAAATGGTTATATTCCAACCATCCTTAAAACTGCTAAAATTGTTCCAGTCTTTAAGACTGGAGAATCTGATAAATTTACAAATTACAGACCAAATAGTTTACTTTCATCTTTTTCAAAACTTTTAGAAAAAGTAGCAGGAAATCAAATCATGAAATATCTAAATAAGTTTAAACTTCTCTATGAGCACAGGTGTGGCTTTAGGGCAAAGCATAACACTACCCAGCCATTTTCTAGATAAAATTTACCAAGCCTTAAACAAACCGGAATCTGAGTATACTTTAGGAATTTTCATTGATTTAACTGAAGCTTTTGACACTTGTGATATAGATAAACTTCTCAAAAAGTTAGATCATTATGGGTTTAGAGGGATATCCAATTGGTGGTTTGAAAATTATTTAAAGTGAAGAAAGCAGTTTACTTCAATCAAGGATGTAAACTCCTCTCTTGAAGATATACTTTGTGGAGTTCCTCAGGGGTCAATATTAGGCCCAATTTTATTCCTAATTCTCTTAAATGACCTTCCAAATGCATCAAAACTGTTTACCATACTTTTTGCTGATGACACAACATTGCAATATTCATTGCCAACCTAGAGCTTTCAAAAATTGCAGACTGGTTCAGAGCAAATAAACTGACATTAAATGCCTCTAAAACAAAGTATATACTTTTCAGAAAGAAAACAAAAGTTCTGGTAGGTGACTCACTTAAACTTTTCATTGAAAATAAGGAAATAAATAGAATAGGTGCTGGTTGTAAAAATGAATCCTTTAAGTTTGTGGGAATACATCTTGATGAAAACCTAACCTGGAATCACCATGTTAAAGCTGTAAAAAACAAAGCATCTAGCGCAGTGTTTGCATTATCCAATGTAAGAAATCTACTTCCAAGTAACATTAAGAATACTATTTATAACTCATTATTTCGCTCATTTGTAGAATATGGAATTTCAGCCTGGGGGAGAAATAAAAGTCCTGAAATGAAAAACGTGCAGTCAGAATTATTGAAAATGCAAAAACAGCTTCACATACTGATCCTCTTTTCTTTAAGTACAAAATCCTTAAGCTAAATGATTTGACTGAATTTAATCAAGCAACATTTATGTATAAATACACAAAAAAACCTTCTGCCCTCCTCATTTAACAACACTTTTAAAAAACTCAGAAATTTTGAAAGATCTCTTAACTATCAAATTGTCTTTTTAAATACAGGCTCATTAGAAGATCTTCCCTCATATGCACTTCTTAAGATATGGAATAAACTGCCACTTGATTTAAAAAGAAGTGTCTCGTTTGGTATCTTTAAAAAAAGTTAATTTAAAATGTTATCTGACACCTTCATCTCAAAGTGCAATAAACCCTTTTTTTATTCTTGCAAAAAATGAATATAGAACTTTGTAGATTTTCGTACATGCTTAATCTTATTCTGTTAAACGCTCTAAACTTAAAACTGAAAATTATTTTGTTATGCTGCACCTCGGTCTTTCTAAATTTAACTAGTAATCCCTGACTTATTGTAAACTTTTAAAACCTAGTAATATTCATCATATTGTAAACGTTTTAATATTAATTAGGTGGGGATAATACCCAAAACAGCAAATAGCTAATCCCCACCTAATTGCTAGACTTACATAAATATAGAAAACAATATAAATATAGTTGCAGATTTTTTGCCTGGAACATTATAACTTGTATGTGTATTTTTAGCAATAAATTATATATTTTCTTATCTTATCTTCTAAGTAAGCACCCTAGCAAGCAATATCATTATCAAATTATGCAATTATAAGAAAACCATGAATTAAGGACTTAAGGTGGGGGGGGGGGCGTGTATCCCCTTCCTTGAAAATGGGGCTTATTCCCCCTCCCTGGACTATGGGGAGGACACCCATAAGTAGATAGAACACGCACCTCCTAACCCTTCAATTTTGATTATCAAGAATTGATTTTTTTTCAATTTGCAAGAAGCGCCACTCAATGAAGATTTTTTATTAAAAATTTTTTTTATAATCTAATTTTTAGAGAACAATTTTTCCCTCCCACCACTCCCTACTTGTCATGCTTTTGGCATAAAAATGACCAAAGTCCCAGTACAAATTTCCAAGAGGTGGGATAAAAAATTCAATAATTTCTCCGTTCAGGAAAATATTGTAAGCAACTTCCTGGGTTATTATTATTTTTGTCCTTAATAACAATCTTTTTGGAAGAAGTTCTACACAATTTATGATATAATATATATCTCCTTACTAACTCTATTATTCTCAATATCTCCCTACGTACTAACTCTATTATTCTCAATATCTCCCTACGTACTAACTCTATTATTCTCAATATCTCCCTACGTAGTTTTTTTATATAACATGATTAAGACAATCATGTTACGTATTACAGCATAGTTGAAATAGCCACAATTAAGATGTATGTCATTATATTATCACGAGGGAGGGGGTGCAGAGGCGCCATGATCCCCGCAAAAATTACCTCCGAACCTCAGGATTTGCAGAATTACCTCCAGGCCCCGCAAAACTGGTCTCCCAGCCTCAGTGACGTCACCAAGCCTACTGCCATTCTGTCTCCACGCCCCGCATTTTGGTCTCCGCTTGTTGTTTTTATTTTTTGTTTAAATTTATTGTCTTAACCAAACAAATATCAAAATATATCTCTTCATAGTAGACTCCGTCATAGTTTAAGAATCGTCTAATCAACAAATTTGACATGTTAATTCATTCAATTGTTCTGGAGTTGTTTTTCTGTAAAAGTTTACATTAAGATGGAATGAGTAAAAGACGACCTTTATAGACGACTTTTCTATTATTTTGAAGGCATCATGATTTGAAGATTTTCTTAACTCTCGATTCCTCAGCATTACATTTTATCATAAAAATGCAAATTAATGAGGATCTGTTCTATAATATACGAGTTTTTGTGCACCCCCCCCCCCTCTTTATAATAATTTTTTCAGTCAAATAAATGAATTCTCTTGCTAAAAGAAAAACTATTTAGAATTAAATTTAACTTTTTAAAACAACAAGATATGACACGAAGCTGCCCTAACCTGTTCGTATAGCATGTACTAGATATTTAGATTATTTTAATTCTTTGTTTCAATTTTTAAAAAAATAGTTCTTCAATATTGTCTAAAACATACAATAAAATCAAAAAAACAAGGATTTCACAAAAACTACCTTGTTTTGTAAATTGCCGCTGATATTGTTTGATAAGTATATGAGACCCCTCTAAAATAATAGAACATTTTTCTATCTTTATACAAAACTGCAATAGTTCTTCACAATTTAAGGAATTTGTGAAATTTAGAAAAACAAAATACAAGCCTTTAATCTCAATTAAAATTCACTTTTTAATACAAAATGTTAATATATCATTCTGAACTATTTCATCATGTTGAAAAATTTTTTAAAAAAGGTTTTTGGTGGAAATAAAAGCCAAATATTTTTTTTATTGGAGCCAAAATGCGGGGCGTGGAGACAGAATGGCGGGGTTCTTGGTGACGTCACTGAGGCTGAGAGACCAGTTTTGCGGGGCCTGGAGGTAATTCTGCAAATCCTGAGGTTCGGAGGTCATTTTTGCTGGGATCATGGCGCCTCTGCACCCCCTCCATCTCATCACATGATTAAGCTAATCATGCTACGTATTGATTTGAAGCGCAGTTCAAATGAATAATTGGAACCTGACATGACTCTAGGAAGGTTTGTTTATGGATGCTCAAAACTAAAAAAATGTGTCCATAGTTTTTGATTTTTGTAAAATTTTGAAAATGCGCAAAAAAATAATATGAAATCCGCGAATTTTTGTTTGTTATTGTTTTATACTGTACAAAGAGAAGATGCTCACAGATAGAGCCACAATTAAAAGTCGAAATAT